GTTTTCAAATGCCAAAACTTTGTTTTTAAATGCCAGATCTACCGTTTTGAAATGTTACATCCCAAACCCTGTAAAATGTCTATTTATTAAATAGCACTTTTGTCCTTCACAGAAAGCCCAGTATCAAGACCAACTGGCAAGAAAGCGTTATGAAGATCAATTGTCACAGCAGGTAGCGCTGAAATCATCTTGTAAAATACCATCTCTTTTTCATCATAATTTTGAGATTTTAAAATTATAGCGGAGTGTGAATGATGAAAATTTAAGAAGACAAGAGGAGTCAGTGAAAAAACAAGAAGCTTTAAGAAAAAGTATGGCAAATATTCAATGTAAAATTCTAATGCAAGAATGAAAGTTAACCAATTGAGTGTCAGCGCCCTCCCCTTGACGAGTAAAATTGTCTGGTGTTAGAGAAAGTAAAATAATAAATGCATTAGAGCACAATGCCTAAAATTCAGAGTCAATCAAATTATGGCTTTTTGTTTAGAGACGATTGAGTATGAAGCGCAACTCAAGCACCAAAATGAAATGAAAAAGCTTGAAGCAGAATTGAAAGGAAAGTACGTTCCCACAAAGTCACGAACATACATTTTGATAAAGATATCTTTTGTCATGCTTGGAATTCTAGCAAGAACAATTTCATTCTGTTATTGCTAAATTTTAGAGCAAAGATTGAACGTGAAAATCGTGATATTCGCCTTGAACAGATAAAAGTTGAAGCAGCAGAAAGAAGGCAAACTATTTTGGAGTCGATAAAGTAAGTGAGAAAATGTATAAACTCACAAGAGTTACGCGCATTAACCAGAATTGTACTCGTCAAAAAATCATTGCGCGTTAAATGAAATACACCCTTCCGGAAAGTATATTATTTTGGCTACAGAGCCTCGTTTTCGTGTGTGGGACATTAGTTAGAGCCTAATCTGTCAATCACGAAAGCGAGGCTCTTTAGCCATAGTGACATAGTGGTCTTCGCCACTGAACAGCACTAAATACTACACTCTCCATGTGGTTTCATAAATGACACTAAAATGTAATCAGATTGACTGGAAAACAGCCTCCAATGAAAACTTATTGTGAAACAATAAGGTATCTTATTGTGAAACAATAAGGTATAACTTTACGAAGATGACCAACAATGTATCATGATTTATGTGTTTATTAGGACAGCCGGCAGTATTTTGGGCACAGGAATCAATACGTTCATATCAGATTGGGATCGCGTAACTTCTGCGGCAAGTATTGGTGCAATTATGTTTTCTAACTGTTCTACTATTCCTGCATGGGTTTCAATCACGTGATATTTTAGCATAATTTTAACTGAGTTTAACTAAAATTACAAAGAAACGAAAGGAATGTCAACGCATCTTATGCAAATGATTCTCCAACTTGTAAAAGCCAATATAAAACAACATAAGCAATTTAAAAGCCGTCATATGAAGCCCAAGAATATCTGACTAGTCATTCACATATTTTGGAATGGTAATACACTCCGCCCTAGTATACGTCACTAATACCATTATTTATAAAGTGTTCCCTTACTATTTTAGGCTGCGGGGATTACACTTTTTGCCTTCGGTATTTACGCTGCAAGACAGGGGACTGGAGTTGTAGGGAGGTAGGAATATTTTCACCAAGCAAGAACAATTTGGTAATTCTTGTATGTATCTCCAATATTTCTATCCTTTCTAGGTATATAGAAGCAAGATTAGGCAAGCCATCATTAATTCGAGAAACGTCCAGATTAACTGCTGTAGGTGCAGTAAGACATCCGATTTTGGTACGTTTGGCTTTTGTTATTACGCATTATTCAGCTAGCTCGCTCCCCATCGGCGCTTCGACTAATTACACAAGTACTACGCTTACTTTTATTACCTACTTAGCCTAGACTATTTATCTTTACAACAACTGAGACATTACTTTCTTAACTTTGTTTATCCTAACCCACCATAACTTTCCTTGTGGGAGGAAACTGGAACATCCGGAGAAAACTCACGATTTTCGGCAGAGCGTCGACTGATTCTTTTCACATGAGTCCGTAGCGAGAATCGAACCAAGGCGGTTGGTCTGATGATTGCGCCACCCGGGCCCACCCCGTACCTGCTAAATAACGCCTTGATACTCCCCTTGTAAATGTGGTCATAACAAGTTTATGTTTCTTCTTAGATGGTAAAGAGGTGGCTCCTCCGACCACAGGATACGTTACAAGGGATAATTTTAAAGGTTGGAGTCGAGTATTTTTTCGTTAATAAGTAGGCTTGGGCGGTTTACCGGTTTTTCGTTTTTTTTCGGTTTTATTTTCAAACCGGTTTTTTCGGTTTAGCTTTTACAAAAACCGGAAAACCGTCATTACGAAATTGTTTACTGTCAACGCCCGAAACTCGATCCTAATTCTCAAAACATGACACTAATTAAACAAAATTACATGACACTAGATACAAATTATATTCTTTTTCCGTAAAGTCGGTAGGAACTAAAGAGGTATAAGTTTTCAAATGCGTTCTTGACCCTTTTATTTTAAAACTGAAGTCGTTTTAGGCTACCTTTACACAATTTTGCGTTTTGTCATGTTCTGTTCGTTTGCTTATGTCAAAAAAAATACCACAATTCCTCCTCATTCAGTTGAAATACAAATTAAAGGGAAAAAACCGGTTCAGTTTCCCGGTTTAGAATCAGACGGTTTTTCGGTTTTGATTTTAAGCAAAACCGCCCAGCCTATAATAATAAGTCGGCGCAAGGTATCTTTCAGCCCTGGATGTATGCCGGCTGAAAAACACTCAACAATATTCGCTGAACAAGTTTCACGACGATACTAACCGAGGAAAACTTTTTATGTTTATTCTAGTCTTTGTTGGAAAGCAGACTTCAAGAAATTTCTCGTGCTACTGCAAATACCAAGCGCAATGGCGGAGTTTATCGTAATTTATTATTCTATGGCCCTCCAGGAACTGGGAAAACCATGTTTGCCAAAGTATGATTATGTTCTAACAAACTATCTTAATTATGTTCTAATTTGTTCTCGTACGTTCCAATATGTTCTGATAATGTTCGATGACTAATTCTCTCTTGTAGGGTAGGTAGTTTAGGGCTATAATCATGGCAAACATTTCGTGGACTCAGCTGAGGAAAAATCGCGAAGTAAAAAGCACTTCTTTGTATTTTTTTAGAGTTTGGCAAAACATTCAGGCATGGACTACGCGATAATGACAGGAGGTGACATCGCACCAATGGGAAGAGAGGGTGTCACGGCTATGCATAAAGTATTTGACTGGGCATCAAGCAGCAAGAAAGGTGTTCTGCTCTTTGTCGATGAAGCTGATGCTTTCTTGAGGAAACGAAGCACAGTAAGTGAAGTTTACTTACAGTATTTTTCTGGTAGTCTCTCTCACAGCACAGGTGACCATTGGAGAATCTTATCTACTTATTGAATGAAATTTTTGCAGGAAAGTATAAGTGAGGACATGAGGAGCACATTGAATGCATTTCTATATCGTACTGGAGAAGCGTCTAGAAGGTAACCACAATCTGAATGATTCTCGCCACTTTATCACCAAAATGTCTGATACCTGTCTTGCCCAATCACATCCTTGTAAGACAGCAATTTTCGACTTCCCCTCCCCCCGTTCAATGTTGAAAGCTTATAAATTGGTGAGGTGAAATACAATGTCACTACCAACATTACTGTTTTGACGTTGTTTTGGGGTTTGTTTTGGGGTTTGTTTTGAGGTTGTTTTGGGTTTTGTTTTGAGTGGATTTGGTTTGGGTTTTTTTATGTTGTTTTGGGTTTGTTTTGAGGTTGTTTTGGGGGTTGTTTTGGGTTTTTTTGAGGTTGTTTTGGGGTTGTTTTCGATTTATTGTGGGGTTTTGGGTTTATTTTGAGATTGTTTTGGCTTGTTTTGGGGGTTGTTTTGGGTTTGTGTTTGTGTTTGAGGTTTGTGTTTGATGTTTGTATTTGGGGTTTGTGTTTGGGGTTTGTTTTGGGGGTTGTTTTGGATTTGTTTGTAATTTAAGGTACAACGAGTGGAATTACCTCGGCATTTTTTTGCCGAGGCAAACTATGAAAAATCGTAACTTGCCTCGGCATTTGCGTCGGCAATTGCCGAGTGCCAAGGCGAATTTCGAGGGTTGCATTAGACGGGGGATACAAAGATACCAATATACCCGGGTACATTAATAGTAATACTTTAGTTTACAGCTAAGTGTCCACGAAATGTTTGCCATGATTGTAGTCATAAGAAGATAGTTAGGGAGTAAGCCTTATGTGTGTCTTCAAAGGTTTATGCTCGTCTTGGCCAGTAACCAACCTGATCAATTTGATTGGGCTATCAATGACCGTCTTGATGAAATGGTCGAATTTGCGCTTCCTTCAACTGACGAACGTGAGAGACTGGTGCGAAAATACTTTGAAGAATACGTATTGAATGCTGCCGTTACTGGACGAAAATCAAGGTTAGGCTAAGATTAATATTGTCTCGCTGTCCTGCAGATTACAGGGAATGACTCACAGGCGTCCTTTATAGCCACAAACCTGGCTAGCCAGTTTATAGCCATAGACGTGGCTACCTATAAGATATGCTGAAAACAGGCATCCTTTTTAGTGTTTCAAATCTTTACAGTATTGTGATGAGTGGCGAAAATTGTGACGAAAAAACTCATTCCGTAAAGTTTAACCAAGTTCTTTGTTATATTATATAATGTAATTTTAAAATTAAAACCCATCTTTTTAGACGGCTAAAAATTGACAATTTTGATTTCAACTCGATGTGTCGGGGAATCGCAGAGAAGACAAAAGGATTATCTGGACGAGAAATAGCAAAACTTGCTGTTTCTTGGCAGGTAGGGGTTTACAAAATTCACAATTATCTGGTATTGAAAAGAATAAGTTAAAACTAGAGCCTAGAGGACACTCGAGTATTGTTGTATAAATAACTAGCAAAAATGACGTTTTGAGTATTTTTTGCGCACTTTGGTGAAGTAGTTATAGGGAATCAATATAATAAACAATGCCATAAGAAAAAAATTATATGATATTATACTCTGTTATATTTTTAATAAATGTGTTGTCTCGTGAAAAAATACCTTCTTCAAGAGGTCATCTGTAAAATTTACAACTGAAAGGAAATGAGTTAAGATAATTTAATATTATTGTTAACGCAAATGCAACTATGTTCATTAAATTATTTTTCAAATCATTTAGGCGAGTGCGTTTGGTTCTGAAGATGGACTCCTTACTGAAGCGATGATGGATGAGAGACTACAAGAAGCTATAGCACAACATGGTCAGAAAGTGGACTGGCAGAAAGGAGATGTTATATCGCCCACTAAACTTATGATTAAGGGTTCTAAAAGTAATCTGAAACCATCGGATGAGGCTAACCTAAATGTTAGTGGGTAGAGGATATATACTACTATAAAATGGGTCCCGAAAAGTAAAATGAGAAAATATGTTTCGGAGGCTTCTGTGTCTACGAATGTGCCCAAATCTCCGGCACTTTATACTATAGATAGGATTTTATCAAAAAAAAAGTTTTTAAATTATATTGCTAATATTTAAATGAAAATACACAATTTCCCTTGAGGAAAGTGTTTATATTACTGATATTTAAATGAAAATACACAATTTCCCTTGAGGAAAGTGTTTGAGATCTTGGCTATATTGGTTTAAATCCCTTTATCTTGTCACAGGTGACACATTTACGAAACCATGTAGTTATATAGCAGTGAATATTAAATCCTGTTTATAATTTTGTAATAAGCAACAAGGTAAAGGGCTGCAAAGCCAACGTCTCAAACACAGAAACGAGGCTTTATAGTCTTGGCTAAGAGTAAGCTTTCCGGAAGGGTGTATTATGGAAATACCATCTGATTGGGTTCTGTTATTTTTCAAAATAGAATGAAACTATGATTCACGAAAAAATGTTCGAATCTTCAAAGTTGTTTTATGGCTATACCTCCCACCCTAATCTGCAGGCCCGTGTGACCTACGAACAGGTTGACCGTGTGATTTCAGCCGGGGATTGGGGATAGTTGCTGAACACTTCAATATTTCGCTTTTATAGACTAAAACATTTCTGAATCCTATTTAATATCGGCAAAAATCAAGTATAGAGTGCATCTAAAGTAGTTCGGCGTACTAATACTGAAGAAAAAAAAGAACATTACTTTTCAAAAATATTCGTAGTCGGCAGGATTCGAACCTGCGCGGGGAGACCCCAATAGATTTCTAGTCTATCGCCTTAACCGCTCGGCCACGACTACGGTTGTACGGTTACTGCCAAAATAACATAGTAAACCGTGATCACTATTTTTATTTATGACATGCGTTCGAAAAAAATTGTTTTTCAAAAAATGTTCTAAATATTTTCAATATCCGGCCTGCGGTCAGGATTATGATTGTGCCCGCAAAAAGGGTTGTGACGTACACTAATTAGGCGGAACAACAAATTTGCAAGAAACAACGAATTTGAATTTATGAACATTGCGTTTTAACTTTATTTTCTGCTCTGAAAGTCGAAGAAAAACACAAATAAAAAATGTAAGTATCTTCCTTGATGTTATGGTTTTCATTTGACTTCTTAAAAGTTTATGAACTGCTGTCGATTGCCATGGACAATGTAGGATTAATAGCTATAAATAATGGTGACTTGGCACAAGTTATATTATACTCAATAGATGGTTTTAGAGTAGATTCTTCAACGATTTTGCTTGTTATAAATTATAGGTCGACGGATAGACTAAAGCAGACACAACGGCAAGTCGATGAGGTTGGTGAAGCTCGATTAATTTCGTAAAAACGAAATATTAGAGTAATATATATATGTTAGACAAGTCAGAGCTTGAATATACATCTGTATATAATTATCGGTTTGAAATTGTATATAGAAGTCATCAATACAATTTGAAATTGTGGAATACAACCAATTTCTGATTTTCACATATCCAAGTGCACTTCCCAAATATTTTAAAAAGCTAAATAGCTGGGAGACATCCATTATTTATTATTTATGCTCATTATTTCAAAAACAATAGTAAACAATATCATATGATGACACTCACTATGATATGTAATAGCATATTGTCATATTTTTAATTTAACCACCAGTTTCAATTTGGTTTTCAGTTTTCAAATTGCAATTTTTGTCTAATAAGTCATTCCAGAAAACATCCATACCAACCCTATACCCCCTTTGGATTGACCCCCCTATACCCCCTTTGGATGTTCTAATACACTTTTTGATTTTGAAACAATCTTTCTCCCCTTCCCCTCCAGCAGAAACTACCTCTGTGGGGGAGCGCGGATTTTTTTCTACTAAAGCGACACACAGCAATGTGTTGTATTCGAGAGGTGCATAAGCACTAAGCTTGCCTGTACAGTACTTTGATTGACATCAACAACATTGTTGCTGACATCAGCAACATTGTTGCTGATTGATAGCTAGGCTACTCTGATTAAATAAAGGTGTCATCTATCCGTTCATTCAACAATATCCAATATCCAAATGTTTAATTAACCAATAGGAATTTCTTTTGGAAATTGCCCCAAATTCCAATTGGAATCCATTGAATTTCAACAGAAGAATCATTCCAATAGAAGGGGCACAGGCCCACAGAAGATGCAGAGATTGTATGACAATAGAGGACTTTATCAGGGTGCATTGCCACTTAAAGGGTTAAATAAGTATTGACAATTCTACAAAAATTCTAAAACTCTACAAAAACTATTTGTTTACTATATAATATATAAAATCCAAATGTTTATATGGAGCATTGATTTTCTTCCCATTCCTGACCCTTCTCATACCTAAATCAGTCATATTGTTGGTGTTAGAGGAAAACACCAAATACAGCAGCTGTTAATGGTATTCTTTTGTTGGTGTTCTTCCAATGATGCAACAAACCAAGAATTGAAGATATATCTGTTCATTTGCATGTTAGGTTGTCGATATTATGAAAGTTAATGTTGATAAGGTATTAGAAAGAGATGCTAAACTTTCTGAACTTGATGACAGAGCAGGTAGGCAAGTTCTTTCTTTTCATTAACCAATTGAGCTTCTGCGCTCTCCCCTTGACAAGTAAAATTGTCTGGTATTAGACTGAGTTAAATAATAAAGTTGGGCACATTAGGGTGAAATGCAACTCAATAGGTTAATTATTATGTTTTTGGTGGTGGTATAAATGGTTGTTTAACCCTCCGCCAAAAGTTTTTTTTCCATCTGTGTATTTATGTGTGTTTGTGTGTTTGTTTGTCAGTATGATAAATCAAAACCTACAACACATAAGTATATAATTATTATGCATGATACAAAATGCAGTCTTTGAGGGCCCTCTTGTTGTTTTTTCAATAATGTTTGTGTGTGTTGTTGTTGATGTTCCTGTTGTTCCCAGTGCCGCTACTGTCACCGATTGTTGTTTTGGTACATTTTACAGATCAGCTACAAGCAGGTGCAGCACAGTTTGATACAAATGCTCACAGACTTAAAAGAAAAATGTGGTGGCAGAATTGTAAGGTAATGAATCCAAGATGTTGTTGTTGAAAGTGCCACATATTGGCATCTATCAAAAAAGAGAAGAATGTCCAATTGTTGCATCTGTAACTTAATTTTGTGTTTAATTGTAGATGTGGATCATTCTAATTGTGGTGATTGTTGTTATAATTGCTGTCATTGCAAGTAAGTAGATTGATTGCTATGGATTTATAATAAGATTCAATGTGCAAAACTACTTAACCCTGTAAGTGGCATGCCCCCTGATGTGACCTACTTTAGTATTTTACTCTGTCTAACGTTTGCCATCTGGATGATTTTACTCGTCAAGTGGAGAGTGCTGCCACTCAATGGGTTAATTAACTGTGATTAATCCATTAAGTTGCATGTTGCCCCCAATACACCCTACTCTTTTTTTCTTTTATTCTGTCCAACTCCCGATGATTTTACTTGTGAAGAGGGGAGTGCTGGCACTCGATGGGTTAACCTACAGTATTACGCTGCAATGTGTAATAACTCAGTCTATTGGAAGACAATTTTAATTATTAGGGGAGACTGAAGTATAAGACCAAAAAAAAAATATGTGGGTTTCCGGTTTCCCAACCCTACCTAGCTTTTGGACGTCGAAATCCCGACCCTAAACTTTTTTATTGGATCATGCTTTCTAAGTTTCCACTTAGAGGAAAAAGTTTGTGGAAAATTGAAATTTGAGGCAATATTAGGGAAATTTATCTTTGGATGTGGAAGCACTAACTAAACAAATTGGCGTCCGCTTGTTCGGAAAATTAAAAAAAAAGTTTAAAAAAAAAAGTTAAAACCGACCTACCCTACCTAAGTTTTTATAAGAAGAAACCGGAAACCCACATATTTTTTTTTGGCCTAATGGACTGGTATATACTGCAAGTAAAGTTATATTGTGATAAATTAATTATGTATTGTTTCTTTTTAGTTTGGGTTGCTGCCACACAGTCAAACTAACATCCTTAGATGTTTTCACTTCAAACTTTAATTCAGCTCTGGTAGCAATTACACTGATGTGAAAATTAATATGCTGTTCGCATGTACTTAGCTTTGATGAATATTTATTATTTCATAGCATCACATATTAGTGGCATTGCAGTGATATCAATGATAATTTTAAAACTGTGGAACATTGTTTCATACATGTTTTGAAATTGAGTCAAACACAGTTGTACTTTGCCATACATACTAGTATGTTAATTGGAAACATTGTAATTGACTCCGAGCTGTAAAAACATGTGGAAGATAATTTCTGCACTTTCTTTATACTAGAAACATTTATTATATTTTTGATTATGTGTATAAATACTACAAGTACAAGTCTAAATAAAAGAACAATGTCAATGGATATTTGTGATGTTGCATTCGTACACCTCAAGTATAGTTGACCTCTCTCTGCAGCGCATATTGCAATTGCGCATTTTACGCTAAAAGCGCAATTACGATCAGCATTTAGTGCGCATGGACTTGTATAGCTGGGAGGTACAATCACGTTTGAAATGCAAATCCTGAATAACCTCGTGCAAAATTTTGGCGCTGACTTTTAAATTGTCAGCTGTTTGGCGAATCTATTCTATAGCATATTTGGTTGAGGGAACACCATCCAAGTATAGCAATTCAGTAGCAATAGAGAGGTGAAACCCCGTTCACACGAGGCCAACATGTTGATCCAATATCATCTCACATTGTTGGATGGACCATTGTTGGCCTCGTTTCAACACTATATGTTGGGTAATGTTTAGATCGCAGACTAGGTAATGTTTGGCTGATGTTGGATTGAGTCTAAAATCGTCATCAAACATTGCAAAACATAGCATTGTTGGACTTTCACGCATCTGATTGGTTACTTGGATAGTTCAAATGCTTTTGATTGATTAATGGTCGCTTAATGGCGGTGCTAGTCAAATCTGAACCTCTCTAATAATTAAGCTCTATATATTCTGCAGTTTTTAGTTTGAGTAACATTCATTGCACGGAGTATAATTCTTCTAAAATTTCTATTATATCTGATAAGAAAGAGTTCTAGAATACATAAAATTAGAAAAGCATGGTCATGAAGCGCAGGACGTTTTCAGAAAGCATGTACTATCAAGAGAATACTTGGAGCATAATTATATGCATAATCAGTTCTACGTGTAAATTCCGACTTCATGTTTTTTATGCCATGAGTGGGTTGACTCGGTATTTTACGCTCTTGTTGAACATCCTGAACCTTTTATTGTAGTCATAGATATAGAGTCGTTTTCTTTACGTTTGTTACCTGCAAGGATCTCAAAATAATGTAAGTTGTGCCTAAGTTCTAGTTGGTAGGTAGAAGTAAGTTATTTTAATACTAAGGTCGAAGCAAATATCGTATATGCATATTTGTAATGCTTGAATAGTATGTACATACAGCAAGATAGACATACTGATGTACTGGTTAAACACAGTTGTGCATGTGTACAAGTCAAAATAGTAGCAATTTGCAGTCAGCTTTGAGTTCTAGTATTTCATTAACTAGTTTTCATAATATCGATGTTATATAACAAGACTCAATTAGAGGTTTCTTAGTAGACACTTGACTACAATTTAAAATTCAGTATGACTCGACCTAATATATACAAGACTGGCAGAGTTTATTCAATTATTTGTGTGAAAATATTATAAGAATTGAAGTTGGTTCCGCTTTTTCAATTGGAGAACATTTTAACGATGAATATTTTAAGTCAAATCGACATATATATAGCCTTGAGGTCTTGCTGTGAGGTATAACCTATCGTACACATTTTATTTGTTTATGCTAAATATGAAATGGATCACTGAGCATTAAAAAACAAGCCCCTCGGGTTACTATATATTTTGTTGCATGTGCATTTTAAAAACGGCGCAAGTTTTTGCTTCAACGAAAAATCTGTTTGTATAATGTATATCATTTCTTCATTTTATGAAGGGCCGAGAACACCAGATTGCTGGGAACTCAAAAGCAAGTAGATGAGGTAAACATGTATATGCAAATGTTACAAAAACCAATATAGATGATAGTAAACCTATAGCATAGAATAAGGACTCTTTATTCTGTGGCATGAGAGTTGGCATTCACATGCATCTTGCCCTTAACTCAGTTAGCTGCATGTCCACTCTCACTACTCAATTCTCGTACTTGTTCATGAACGGAGCTTTTATACAGGGTGTCCCAAAAAACGAAAACTATTGAAATCACCAATAACAATTTAATTGTTAGAATTTGAATGCCTTAGCACTCTGTTGGTTCCCACGAGTGCATAAATGATTGACGTAAGTAAATTTTATGCATAAAGAAACTATTTAGAAAGCTGCTTTAGA